TTGTATCACTAATTGCCCAGTACGATTACAACATACAATATTATTGTCACTGCTACATTTCTGTAATGCTACCAGAAATTATTTCCACTACTAATTAATTACCGTTGAGCTCAAAGGTCCTATTAATAAACGGTTAACGAATGTGTATTTATGAAGACGATTTGTGAGACTGGTAAACTTATGATATGTACGATGGTCTTTCGTTCTACACGGTGCATTTCAAGGTCCTGCACCCATCCGTCGGTAAACTGTACCTGGGCTTGTTGCAGTGACCTGAAGTTACTAAACTTCACGAGTGTATGCACTCACTCCAAGAACCGTATAATTATAAATATGAGCGTGGTGAAAGTTGGGCAGCACGCTAACGTATTTTGTCCCTCTGTGTGCTCGTAAGGGTCTGACCCTTTCACTGGTTTGATTTTTTTCCTCGTATCTTTTCTTTGACTTTTCATCAAGTCTGTCTTTGTACGGACCGGCATTGTTCTCCTTCGTTTTGTACATACCTTTTTGGGGGGCAAAGAAAAAGCAAGAATTTATTGGAACCGAAGAATGAACGTTTTGCGGTGCTGCAAATGCTTGGATTGTTTTGCCACGAGTTCCCGGCATGCAATGCGCGAAAGTCACGTGGTCTGTCAATCTCTATATGTAAGCCTGTAAAACCTGAAGATGGTCAGATTTACAGTGTTGTGGAAGTTTTCCATTTAAATAAAGCCTGCAGACGAGCGGTGAGCGGTAGCAAACATTCTTTAATCAAAACACAAAGAACAGAAAAACCAAGCTTGTGGAGCCCCTGCATGATCTCTTTGCAGACGGTCAGCAGAGTCTCTCTGAGCCTAGCATGGCTCTCAGTTAAATACCTTCTCCAGGAACAAAAGGCAGTACACAGCTGTTTCACACCTTAAGGTTCACACTCCCTTGCTACCTCCCAGAGTCCTCGAAGAGACAAAAGACTCTTCCTGTGGAGTTGTCTGCTTCCCCCAACTTCCTTACTAGACCCCCACCATTTGTCTTACTGTATGAGTGTGAGACATGTTAAAATCCAGTGGCACCAAGGTATTATACGGTAAAATAATGGGATTAATACATAAATAAAAGAAATTCCTATACAACAGTAACAGTATTTTGTCTCTATCTGCCATTCTGCAATTCATCTCATGTAAACAATAACGTGGCGCACAGCGTGACGTGAAAAAAGGCACATACCTTTGACGTTGCGTGACGAACTCTGTATTCCTCGTCCACACGTAAACGCAAAAAAGGAGTTTTAAAAAATCTCAGTTTTCGGTGATTCGAAACGCCGTTTACGTGTGGACGAAACAGCTGCGTTTTCAAAAATACCCGTGTAGGTGTGGACGTAGCGTAAAAGAGTTAGTAGTTTATTTTATTACTACCTGTAATTTATTGCAGATTACTTGTATTTGCTTAATTGTTTACTAAATGTTTGAGGTGTGAAATAAACCGCAATGGAGCAAAATATGGTGTGTGTTGGAGGACGTGTTTGTGCGCATGTGGGGGGCGCAAGATCTTTCTTGTTAAACAAAGGGGGGCCTAGCAAAAAAAGTTTGGGAACCACGGTGTAGAGGATGAAGAGCAGGGGGGAGAGCACACAGCCCTGGGGGGAGCCAGTGGAGGTGGAACGGAGACCGGAAAGAGAGTTGTTGACCCGAACTTTCTGAGTCCTGTTGGTCAAAAAGTCCAATATCCACAGGATTAGCTGATCATCCAGGTGAAATCGGGAGGAAAGTTTAGTGGCCAGGATATGAGGCTGCAGAGTGTTGAACGCTGATGAGAAATCAGCAGGAGTCAGGGAGCTCCAGATGTTTGTGGATGGAGTCCAAGATGAAGATTTTTGCATCATCGACACCTCTGCGTGCACGGTAAGCAAACTGGAGTGGGTCCATCAGGGGGTCAGTTGCTCTTACGATGTGCTGTTTTATGATCTTCTCCATGGCCTTCATCACCAGGGAGGTGAGGGCCACAGGACGAAGATCATTCAGAGACTTTGGGTTGTTTCTTTTGGGGATGGGGATGACTGTGGAGTGTTTCCACAGCTGGGGGACGGTGTGACTGTCAACTGAGTGTTGAAATGGAGTCTGGAACACACTTCCTAGTTGCCCTGCACAGTGCCTCAGAACTCGACTGCTGATGTTGTCAGGGCCGGGTGAGCTCCTCTCCCTGGTCCTCCTGAGGACTGTCACCACGTCCTCAGTCCTGAAGGTGAGTGCAGAGCTGCCAGCTTTGAGTGAGGATCTGGACTCCTCAAGCTGGGCCATGTTGTCCGTCTCAAACCTGGTGTAGAAAGCGTTGAGGTCGTCAGGGAGGGAGGAGGGGTTGCTGCCCTCCACCTGGATGGTTCTGGGGGTGGTGACCACAGTATTCACAGAGGCCATGGTTTTGAGGCCCTGCCAGGCTGAGTGGAGGTCCCTGTGGTGAATTTTTTTTCAACTGTGTCTTTGTAGTCCAGTTTAGCAGTTTTTATGGCCCTCTTGACCTCCCTGTTGACCTCCTTTTTATCCAGTGCAGAGCCAGTGAAGAAAATCCTCTTTTTTTTATTAAGGATTTCCTTGAGTTCCTTGGTGATCCAGGGTTTGTTGTTGGGGTAGATGGAGACTGTTTTTGAGGGGATAATGTTGTCAACACAGAAGGAGAT